GTGCTGTTCTTACTCCGATCTCCAGTTTCTCCTCGAGTGGATTAATGATAAGTGATAACTGACTAAGCTAGTCGTCATTTTATGAGCATAGTAACTTTACTAACTTAGTAAGTAATATTTATTCGTGAATCGTGATCATTCCTGAATAGGTAGTTGCATCCAGTAATCTACTTTCATATCTCCTGTAAATGGCTCCATCGCGTAAGTCTCGTAGCAGTTCTCCCTTTCTTGGCTATAACTGTTGACTGATTTCTGCTTTCAGTGCACCATTCTGAAAAAAATTAGATTAGGATCAGTTTGTTAATGAAAAACCTTGAAACCCTAGTGGGAAGCAAAAAACCTAGATCTAGGTTTTTTCTGCTTCAGAGCGCCACAGTGCCTGCGGAGTGCCTGCTGGAGTGCTGGCTCTACATGCCCAAGGATTTGCTGAAAAACCACCATGGTGTTGCCTGCCTTGAGATTCATACGATCATAACTACCGTAACCAAAGCCAATTTCTGACGGCCTGCAAACCTGTTTCTAGTTGCCTGGAACATTTTTTTTCTAAGGCAGAATGCTTTTTTTATGTGAACCATGAATTTTAGAATTTCAGCCTGTCTTAGACATAGGTGTCAAAGCTGCAAAAGCAGAGTTTTTAGACTCTTCCAGTCTTCCTCAACCTCAACTCAAGTTCATTTTTGAGTCCTATAAGTAGGTAGACCAGTAAAGTATCTTGGATGCCAGAATTAGCCTATCATACCTACATAAGAAACCTGTTAAAATCTTGAGTACCTAAATGAGGAAATTAAAAATGAACTGATTCTAAAAAATCACTGGTGGGGCACCAGGGGCACTATGCGTGAGTGCTCTAGTCTAGGCTAGGTAATAGAAAAAAAAAATAAAATGTGTTTTGCAACTTCAAATAATCCACTCCACCTTAAATATTATCAAGAGCTTTGTTGCTTCCAAATACATAGCTAATGGTCAATTTAGAAATAATTTTATATTATTTTAGATTTTAGAATAAAGCTTTATAAACCAACAATCTAGGACTTCTAGGTTACCTAAAGGCTAAACCTAAGGCGCCACCTTGACTTGCAAGTTTCAGAATTCGACTCATAGTGACATAGAATTTTATTGGCTAAATAACAAGATACGATTATACGAATAATACGATATACAATGAATGCCAGAATGAATCCCTCCAAGTTATTTAGGAGTCCTGTAATCCTGGAGGGTAATTTGACAATTCTCAAACTCAGGCTTTAGTTCACGGAAACGAAATCATTTCTAAGATCTTTCCAGTTCCAGCACCAGCAGAGCGTAAATGGTCTTCACACGCAGTGCAGGATAACGGTTCTTCCTGTTGTTCACGTTTAGTTCCAAGTGGGAAGTAAATATGATGCATGTCAAAAGTAGTCTAGCTCATTGAGCAAGTGGTCGACATGAAATTCCTTAAAGTTAAAGACACTCTCTTGATACCTTCACAACAGGTATTCATTACATTATTTGATTTTAATTCATACAGAAGCCATATCACTAACGAGCCAAAAAGTCGCTTAACAAGTGCCCCTTTTAAATAACTTATACTATTCATATGCCATCTTGCACCAAAGTGTCCTTTGTTTAGCTAAAAATGCACAATCGCTCATATATATGTCAAAGTTTGATAGCCTATTTGTATTCGGGAACCATATAGGCAAAAGGGCTATTCCTGTCTTTCGAGCGCGTATTTACGACAATTATCGTTTTGGGTTATTCTGGACGTCATCTTATATTATCTCAATGACTCATCATATTTTGAAAATTAAGTCAATGAAAATTTTCAATAAATATGTAAAATTTGAATTTTAAATTGCCTCTCTTTAAATAATATTCTTCAAGTTTTTGATTATTAACAACATCCGGGATGCTTCTAAAACTGCATGGATAATTATCGGTTTCGGGAAACGACAGAGAGACCTTGATAATTCCGAAACCTCTTTCTATTCGTATGTCAGTATTATGAAACGAAGTCAAGTAGGTACATCTGAGTTGTTTATATATCAATTTCGTGAGTATATATAGTGGTATCAGCTTTGATTAGGCCCTGTTGGTGTAACGCCGATTCTCAACCATTCCGATTTCTACCAGATTTTTCACATTTAATTGACTTTGGTCTAGTCTCTTTCACAACTAAAATGGAAATCTTAACCACACCATCCTATTGAGCTCACCACAACTTAAAAAATTACGTTGTTTGCACAAGCTATTCAAGCATTTTTCATCAGGTTTCACTCCAGGATTTCCAGGACTACCATTTCATCCAAGACGTTCTATGTTGTTGTTAGACGCTCTAAGTAGCTTTTGTCCTTAGGACTTAGGAAAAATCTTCAAGATCTGCTCAGGTTTTGTGCCGTCGCCGCCATATCACGTGCCCGTGCTCCAGTACAAGACTAACAACTAAAACGTATCCAGAGTAAGTCGAATGTGTGCCGAAAGATGCGATCTAAGCTCGCTTTTGCAGCAGCTTTTACTATGTGTTCATTAAAATTCAGGTCTTTCTTAACCAGTACTAGTATATTTTCATTGCCCAGACTCCCAGAGCACCTATGCCTCTCATGGTGTAAAGGAGGCTGATGCTTGAGCTTCTGACCGAGGTGGGACGCGGCATCTTTCGGAGCGAAGGTCCTTTGCTACTTTCTACAGCTTTCATCAAATTCTCATCACACTCGAGGAAACTCCCAAATGTTCGGAAACTTTGCATGATTTTCTAATTAAATGCCTAAAAGCGGACATAAGTGAAAATAAAATTACCCTTTTCATTCCATCAAGGTTTTGAAAATAAAACGAAATTTGTAGCTAACGAACTTTGTACTCATTTTCAGTATATATATTTAACTGTCGGAAACGCCAACTAGAGCGCTGACTGTTCACGGTATGGAAGAAGTGTATGGGCAGGGTGGCCCAGTGGTTAAAGTTCAGAGTACCAGGATCAAATCCTCCACGACTAATTCAATATAAGAGTGTGTATTAGATTACCCACTTATGCAACATATCTGGATAACAATAAACGAAGAGAGAGAATTTTATATTCAAAATTACGGCATCACTATTGACTAGGATATGACATTGATTGCCAAAATTATTTAGAAACCTCCTTTTTGCGTGAAGCGTTTGTATGCGATTGAGGAATGTTTGTGAAGCACAAAGAGACAACGTTCTTATACATATAAATTAGAAAAAAATAACTTCAATTTTGTTTAAATAAATCATTAAAATGTCTCATTTAGTAGCACTTAATTTAGTTCAAAAACATGAAGTAGGTCATTAGTTTAACAGTTAAGTACTTAAATCCAATCGGGAAAGTTGAAACGCTTGTTCAACGCGGTGGATTGAACTCGGCTACTGGACGCCCGACTTCAGAGTTGAGTTCCATCGGCCCGCCTGAAAAAAATAACGTTACGGGCTACGAGCTAAAAAGTTATAAATATATGCTATAAAACTTATAAAATTATCTAACAACGGACAGCAGCAATGATTATAAAGCGACAAACTGTAAAACGGTAAAATGAAAAAAACTACTCGTGCGAGTGAAAAGTTCGAGCTTTCTAAAAATATCTACAAAAAGTTCTGTTACCGTGGAATGAAAATCGCGGAGTATAAAAAATTCTTATTCTCAAAAAAGTGCTTTACGAGTCTCAAAACTTTGATTTGCTTCCCAAAGTTTAGGTAAGTTTCTATGCTGTCAAGGCACACCGTAGGGCCGGGTGTAGGGATGGGAATAAACTTCAAGTCCGAATGACATATTCCTCATGATGCAGTTCGGAAATGAGGCTTAAGAAACTTGGCCGTCCGTGGCTGAATGAGAGATACTAGCAATACCGTACATTTAGCACTGGGAAAAAATCGTTTTAATGGAGATGCATTCATTACAATGGTTCCATCAAGTGCACGTTTATGACATCTTCCGTGTCACTAAAGCTTAAAAGTCATCTCGAAGTCTCCGCATCCACATTAATTATCATATGAGTTATAAGGTACACGCTTCAAGTTTAAAATCGGACTGTCGCCTGTGCTACTCAGAGGTTTTCAGTGCACATACGCATGAATAAGCATTAGCGCTCATTTAAGAGCAACAATTACCGAAGATTTGCGGCTTAGGCCTTCGACCTAGTCTTGGAACCAATAGATTGACTCACAGCAACTTGTACGTTTTGCCATAGATAAATTTCTTTATTTTTATAATAACGTAGTACCTCGATTAATATCACCATTGTAATTATTCCTCACGACGCACGAGACTCGTCAACGAAATTGTAAGGCTGACATCAATTTGGCATTTCCTAAATCAAACCAAATGAATATTATAAGTTTAGTGCTTCCTCTTCTAATTTTAGAAAAATAGGCCTAATCAGTTTTCTAAAAAAAACCTGCGCCTCGCGAATTGCCATCATTAAATGAGCACATAACTGGTAACAATGTCTTATTCTTACTAATTTTAATTATCACCCCATATTTACATTCATGCAAGATAAAGTGTTAAAATTGGCAACTTATTAAGTCAGAAATTTTTTAAACAAACGTCCAATTCATTCAGAATTTGATAGTACATTCAAAATGTCATCCTATCGTTTTTTTTCTCCAAATGGAACGATAAACATTTTTTGAAAACATCTCAAGAATGCAAGGTTATTATTTCAGGACAGTTCTAAAGAGCAGCAACATTTCTGAACGTTCAGGGCACGTGGGCAACGCTAAAGAAGCGGTTGATAATTGGGTAAATTAAAGAGCTTAATGTTCATCAACGTTTCTTTCGGACTGAAGCACACTTCAAACATCGCGTATTGGATGGAATTGCATTCATGAATTGGAAATCGGTTTTTGAAATGGGTAGAACAACGACGTGATCGATGGAATACTGGTCAATAAGAAATAAAATGAAGAAAGATGCTATATAATTACTAAATGAAATTAAAATCTCATTTGGAATGGTACAAAGCTAAAACATGCTAGAATGATAGTAAAAAATGAATAAAATAATATTATATGGCATGAAAAATCTATAAATTAGCTTTTCAGTATGAACACGAAAAAATGTCAAGTCTAAATGAGTTTCAATTCGAAATTTCGACGCCCAAAACAAGTTTACCTCACAAAACTTGCGGGAAATTTCCGCCCATGTCACACTTGAATTAATAAACCTTATTGGCAACCTAAGGATTCATGATAAAGAGCTGTAATCCTTCTTTAACACTCCTTTTAAGCTGCATGTAGTTGATGCATTCTTATGAGTAGACAATAGTGTACTAAAAGCGACTTCATAAGCAGCACTTTAAAGTAGCACATACGCTCAGAAGTATTTAATAGTCATGGAGACAATTACTGATAACTGCAATCAACTGCATTAATGGAAATGCAAGGGAATTAAATTTAATTCATCAATGGAAATGGCAAGTTGAAGCCCTGCAACATGTCCCTGTTGCTACGAGGGTTAAATGGTCGAGAACTAGAATGTTCCAAGGAACCAAAACATGTTTAAATAATAACAACAATTATCTAGGATGCATTACTCACATCAAGAACACTTAGTTATTTCAGATCAATTGGTGCCCATTTACTGCCCAATACACAAACCTGGAATCAATCGTAGAGACGACTTACAAGCTTGCCAATTGCATTACAAATTTATGGCGCAGGTCAAGTAATAACAGTCCAGTTCAGGGAAACCCTACAAAGATTACCTACAAGCAGCGCGGTGAATGCAAGCTCAACATTGATGATCAGATCTTGAAATAATCGTCACTCAGCGTTTGTTTGCCAACGGCTTACCCAATCCATCGTAAAGCAAATAAATTATTCTCCAATTAATAACAAAGCAAATCTGGAGCTGCCCTGTTTGTGTTCATTTGATTATACGACACAAAAGATTTGAATTGAGGAAAATAATTTTTCCGGGTGTTTGATTATTCACGAATGAAATAATTTATCTGACAATGTGTATCCATATTTACTAGCATTTGCTTGTCCCAAGCGAGCTAATTGATAATTGTAATAAAGTTTGTCACAAATTACAACATTAACAACCATTACCTAACGGGTAACCAAACAAATTCAACTTTGAAACGTCGACACTAATCATAGTGGCGAACGACAGCCATTGCCAAATCCACACATTGCAAAACTTTAAATACGTTATTTTTTGACCAACATCGCAACAAACAGCTTCTGAATTTAAATCCATTCAAGGATATTAGCGAATATACAAGCATAGAACCCATCAAGTTTGACGCAATTTCCCTTGATATAATTTAATGACCGAGCAAAATGGCTGAATTTCATAACCTTGTCAACAGCCAAGACGAAAACATTAATTGTGATGGTTATATGGAAACAAGTTCACAGATGACACAGATACATTAACGTAGACGAGAACAAGCTTGCTACATGAACCACTCCTCGTTAGTGGTGCCAGAGGAGGGCGGTGAGCTGTGCTTCGTCGAATACCTTTTGCTTTGCGAGTTTCCTTCACCAGGCGCCGCGCCGTTGGGGCTTGAGCGCTCGCTCCGTCGGTCGTTGCTGCCCTCGCGCCCCTCGGCTGCCGATCTCCTGAAACAATGAGAGTTTTAAGGTGTTGTGTGTGAAGTATTGTAAAAGTCCTTTTATGTTCATCTGCCAAATTTGCCATTTGAGAACTATTCATTTATCACCATCCACACGTTTTCTCTAGTTCCTGCACCACAAGTTATGCATTTGTGGCTTGACAAATAAACGAGTGATATGTGCCATCGTATGCAACTTCTTTCGTTATTTCAAACTTCAACCCGCGTTACTCGGTACCGTACGAGAGTTAGTAATCAGTGACATCAAATAGTTCGGAATCTATACCAATCAATGCTATCGAACTTATCAAGGAGTGCCTTTGGAAGAAATTATCGGTTTCTCTTAACTCCTCTACCCCTTGTTCATTCCAGCCAAGCTGGAACTGTTATTTTTGTTAGATCTAACATCATTGCATCGGCACCCGAAAAGCAGTTTCCAGGTAGCGCTCTCCTGGATCCCACTTAGTGCACGCACGAGGGAGTGGTCCTCATATCTAGGACCAAGTAGTCTGTAAGTGTGGCACCCCGGGTCATGTTCTGCAAGTCGGCAGTGTGGCTTGTTTCACTAACCGGAATTTTCCTACCTAATTCCCAAATACATTTTTTTTAATTGAGGATTCAATAGCAACAATCAGCAAATTCTAGAATTCCGCCGATTTTCGACATGCATTTACTCCTGTTCCTCCAAGATGTTGCCAGATGTTACGCCTGAAGTTTGTGCCATTGGTTAGCAAGCTCGATTGCCGGTCGATCCACGATGGTCGCATCGGCTATGACACTTGGAGCTAGAGCCTTAAAAAACTGAACTCAACCAAGGTACCTGGTATCTCATTCCTAACAGTCTTACTTTCTATGAGAATTTAATCAGGAATCGGATTGAAAAACAGCCAATAATTGCCGAAAATTTATTACGTCAATATTTAGCCCCCTCATCTTTTTTTATATTAGGAGTACGTAATGGAATACGAGTCGATATGACAGTCTTTTGGCAAGAAAACAAGACAGGCATTCTCAAATTAAATAAATAGAAGAAAAAACAGCCAACACCCGTCACATACACAATAAATGAATACCTTTTGACCTTTACTAATCTCTTCAAGTTTCGAGAAAGAAAATCATCGAAACTTGCTCCTGAAATAATCGTGCATTGATTTTTTTTGGAAGGAACTCAAATTTATACATAATTATTTTGAACAGGAAAACAGAACTCGCGCATAGATCTCTGGTTACCTGCTGCTGTCGTGGGGTTTGCTGCTCGATCGATTACTGCGTCGGTCTCGAGATCGCGATCGACGGCGCCGACGATCCCTGTCACGGGATCGTGAACGTGTTCGCGACCGCCGATGTCTCCGGCGATCTCTGCGGTCATCATCGCGGCTCCCGTAATGGCGGTCAGAGCGCCGGTCGTCCTGACGTTCGCGATCTCTGCACACAATACTGAGGTGATGTCTCTGTACACAATAGTCAGGTTTTGTCTCTGCACACAATACTCTGGTCATGTCTCTGCACACAATACTCAGGTTATGTCTCTGCACACAATACTCAGGTTATGTCTCTGCACACAATACTCAGGTTATGTCTCAGCACACAATACTCAGATTTTGTCTCTGCACACAAAACTCAGGTTCTTTCTCTGCACACAATACTCAGGTTATGTCTCAGCACACAATACTCAGATTTTGTCTCTGCACACAATACTCAGGTCATGTCTCTGCACACAATACTGAGGTTATATCTCTGCACACAATACTGATGTTAAGTCTCTGCCCACAATACTCAGGTTATGTCTCTGCACACAATACCTACGTTATGTCTCTGCACACAATACTGATGTTATGTCTCTGCACACAATACTGAGGTTAAGTCTCTGCCCACAATACTCAGGTTATGTCTCTGCACACAATAAAACAAAAATATAATCAAAAACAAATAATTCAAAATTATTCAATTCAATTTCCTATTCATTCTGCAAAAAAATAAATTATCGTGTGTAACTCATAGTACATCATGCCTCTTATGTCTATAAAGGAGCTGCTCAGCACATTGATGAGATTTAAAAGAAAGTACAACAAACCTTCAACTCCTCAAGCTTTTCACGAATTTTGATGAAGCCAAGATGGAGCTTGCCGCCAAAGTGGTCAGCCAGCCGCCTGTCATTGTCGTGGATGCCGAGGTAAGCAGAACAAACTTCACAGACACGTAGCTTCTGCTGCTGGTAGCTGGAGACAGGCATGCTGTTGCGGTACTCCTGCTCTGCTGTTGCTTTACGCTTGCGCAGGTCTTCTACTTCCTCCATCAACTTCATGCTCTCCTGTACACAATTGCATATTAATAGCCGACTAGGTGCCAATGTGCCATACTTTCAAAACGTGATCAAGTACACAAAGCCGCCGATTTCTCATCTGTAACTGGTGAGTTCAGTTTCAAAAGCCCTCGGTGATAGGCCAATCGAGTTATGATTTTTAGAGAGTTATGTTTTTTATGACCAAGTAGTTATGATGTTAAGGCCCCAGATTTAAAGTTTATCATGAAATATTTTCATTGACATTTGATTTCATCAAATGGAAGTTCATTCACAGAGACAATACCATCCTTATATTGACCAGTAATAAAACCAATCTTCCAAGCTCACCAAAAGCATGAATAACTATGGAAATTGTCAAGTCGATGAGATTTAATGGAGTTCATTTCATTTAATTTAGTCATAATAGAGTACTTGACTTTCTTTTAGTCGTTTTTAGTATTAGAAGACGAATAATATGCTTGTTATTAGAGGATAATGTGCTCTAAATCAGAAAATAAATTAGTAAACAAAAACTTGGAACACCTCTTGGAGTACTCAGCATAGTAAATATATAGGTATGTACTGGATATGGTATATAGGTATATACTGGAGCAACAGACCTCCACCATGCCATCGGCTCCCAACTGCTCAGCTTTGGCAAGTTTTTGTCCAATCTGCTCAGCCAAGTCATGCACTTTGTTGGCCTTGGCAGCAACCTCAGCGCTGAGCTCCTCCTGCGTCTCCTCCAAGCGCTTCTTGGATGACTCAGTACGGCGGTCACAGTCATTGATGAATGACTGCAGATGCTCCATTGCCTGTAATATAAAGCCAATATGATGACGATGTTCAACCACTCATCATTTTGACATGTTAGCAATAATACTAAATGTGAACATTTTTCACACTCATAATAAATTATTATGTTTTAATCCAATTTCTCAACTTCCAGTTTCATTCACATTAGAACCATAAAAGCTTAGTGGCTACATAGCCTGAATGAACCACCTGAGAACAAATTATAACATATTGATATTACTCACAATTATTGAGACCTGATCAAATAAGTTAAATGTCTTCTCTGTATGCATTTTGTAAGATATAGGATTCACATTAATATCTTAGGGGTTGTCCCTGCTTTGACATTCCCATAAACTATCAACTTATTACTTACATCAATATCATAGTAGTAGTCTTTGGTCTTGACAGCAGCTTCATAATCAGCTCTAAGTGCCACATCATGAACATTTGGGCAGTCTCCCAAGTCCATACGCTAAATGAAAAGCAATACATGAGGGTAAAGTGCCTAACAGTTTTTCAATAATTAAAATAAGCACACACAAAAATAACTCTACAATGATGCCTAACTTAGTTCACTTGTTTGCAGATTGATACAAAATTCTATGCTATTCAAATTTCTATTTGAGTTCACTTTTATCATTTAAGACTTCATTCTGAATTATCATCACCAAATGACCCAATCAATTTCTGTCAAAAAATCATGGCGCATTTAACAAAAAATATTCACAGCTGCCAACAGGTAAAGCCTGAATATTTCAGAGCTGAAAAATCATTTCATTATTAATGAGCAAGTCTCAGCCCCCAATATGAGATGCTGGCTAATCTTGCAATAATAGCACACAAATTTTGGGGAATTTTCCCTGCCCAACATCATCAAGTTAACTAAAATTTGTAAAGTGATCTGGCATTAGCAGTGAACCTCACCGTGGATGACAGGATCTCATGAGGGCAGCATGCCAGCAAGAAGCTCTTGCAAACCCTGGGATCTGTGAACTTGATCTGGTGCTCATGCGTCTCTCCTATGAACAGGATATGAACACACAAATAAAAATGGCCTGGTAATTTATTTTCAACAAATTTACTAGAGGCATCAGCACATGAGTCACAAACTCACAAGTAACTAAAAATTTCATGAAAAATGCCATGATTGCAATATTAGAAGCTAAGAATTTAGTATGGAATCCTTGCAAATACATGAAGCAGAGAACTGATACAGCTCTAATATTCATGCGCATTTCCCATCCATATGAGAGAAATCCTGTATTTACCCAGATCAGTTAATAGGGAAATATAAAAGTTAATAACTAGAACAAAAAAAAATTGGCAAGTTTAAGTGAGTGAGTCATGTGCTCATAGTAAACATGATAGAATGAAGTTGTACCAGGCAAGACAAACACTTGACACTCAGGAATTCATTGCCCAAGGGTTCAACAGAAAAGCTTGGGTCAAATAAAGCAGCAGCTTCAAAATTCATGAATGAACCAAGTCCCTGAATTTCTGAATAGTCAAAATTATTTGTTAATGATAGATACCAGAACTTGTGAGATTACTTATTGCTCTGAATTACAGCATTGCCAATGGTATTTGAATATTAACTGGATTTAAAATGAGCTGATCTTATCTGAATAACTGGCATGCTCACACAGTGGAAAATATAAGAAAATATAAATTGAAAACAGCAATGTTATTCTTTACAGTTGATTGGACAAATTACATCAAATTAAGCAGTCCATAAGATTTTTCTTCATGAATCAGTTCAGCAGGCTTTCCCTTTTTTTCCCTTACCAATTATCTTCAATATTCAAATGGTATGCTCTAAAAATGTGCAGCTCAACCTTTAATTAACTACGGATTCAAACCCGAATGCTTACATGATTTCATAACTGTACCTAGACATGGAAAATGTGCCAATTTTTTCAGGATTCAAAAAGAAGTAAATTGAGTCCTATGTAAATGGTTATGCATCATACAATTGATAGCATCAGAGAGTAAAATAAATTGGGAACAAATATTGCTAAAAAGAGATGGTCCCAGCCAGCAATCTATTTCCTGTTGAAATAAAATTGAACAATCACAAGACCCCACAAACTTGACTGATTCAGTTCTTTGATAAACAGAAATGAAGCAGCCAAGTCTAAACACTAGAGATAACTCACAACCACGCAGCTGTAGCAGTGGAGAGACACGAGCGGAACGCAGGTCAAGAGGCAGCTGACGAGCGAGCACGCAGGTCAGAATTTAAAGTCCTTACCAAACTCATCACTAAATCTAGCAAAGACCTATGTATAACTGATGCAATCAGAGAGAAAGGGCAGGTATATATATTCATTCAGCAGTGATGTAAATTTGAAAAGTAATTATGTCACAAACATCAATGGAACAATTAATGAGTAGAAGCCAAGAGAAACAGGTTTATACACACGTGTTGCAGCGAAATCCCCCTCAACTTAAACCTTTGAGTCGCTGATTGCTCCACCCTAGAAGAAATTGAGTTACACTCATCAATGGTAATTCATGGACACCAGCATCTTCACAAACAAATGAGACAAGTTTGAATCAAGTCTCAAGACATCTCAGCCTCAAATAATGCAGGCACAAATTTGAAAGCAGTATGTATAAACTGTGTTCTTAATCCCAGCAGATGCTTTATACTTTAGTTTTAGGCTACACTAAAGAAATGACATGAGATCTGGCTCCATAATGCCCTGCTTTTTTATGGTGATGGAATATATATTTTCAGATTAGGGCTCAAGAACTAACCATAAATTAGAACATTCAAGTATAAAAACAATCATCAGAAGGGAAAAATTCAGCAAAGAAATAAAAATTCCTAATTGTACTGATTTTAACAGAATATCTACAAATCATCATAATACTTGTAACCATCATGAAAAAAAATCAAAGAGTTTGGTAACTCAGCCATGTCAATTTCATAGTCATAATAAACTTAAAATCTCATGGCATACCTGTGATACAACTAAAATACAAATTTTAAGTGGCAATGAAATGTAATCATAAGTTTTCTAGTATTAAGTGCATGTTATTCAACATATATAATGCCTTACAAGATGGAAAAATATATTTACAAAACTAATTGAGTAGAAATTTTAATGGATTTGCCAATTTGTCCGGATTGAACATTCATTTGCAATTGGTCAATAAGATAGCTCATGTCTAGATTCACTTCAAATTATCTCTGACTCGTGTGTATATATATACAATAGCAAGTTCCAGACTTCAACATTCCAGTAGTGCAAGATTCACATCCTGCAAATTGATATTCTTGAAATATTCACTGATCATGAGAATCAACAAACAAGGTAATCAAACTGGAAGTTACAAGTAGAAATAATGCCTTAAAACTTTCTCCGAGGTTACAAAGATGTTCTCAACAGTGAAGTTATTGAGATACATTTGATGATACTGACTAAAAAATCTAACTTTAAGAAAATTTCATGTCAAGGAATAATACTGAAATAGCAAAAGGAATGTTTTAATCAATTTTGATCTAAGAGAGGCAGAAGATTTTGATTATATCAATCTTAAAAAACAACAGCAATCATGTAGTTTGTAATCAGTGCCAGATTTAACCTTATGATAGCCAAATTTCACACCAAGACTGAATTCATTCAAGAATAACCAAATGTGAGGCTGGGAGCCAAATTCCTATCAAGGTCCCATATCCATAACCAGGGTAAGAGGTCAATCTTTTGCTGGCAAGCTTAGAAATTTTAATTTCTGAAATCAATATATATTACCAAATTTTCAGAAGTACAAACAACTATTATATTTACTCTTTTATAGTTTCTAAGGTTTTGCACATTGTATGAGTAATTTGAAGTTGAGGAAACTACCATTAGATGGTCATTATGCAAAAATAATTCAATTCAAATATATATATTTGAATATAATATCAAATATATATATTTGAATATACAGTTTAGCTAATTAACTTGAATTTGAATCCATTTTATAAGGTTATATACCTCAATTAATTGAAGAGCTACTCTGCATTCTAAAAGAATGTGTAAGGAGCATAAATTTTATTGACCAAGTCAAAACTCTCATTGAAAAACTTGTACCGGTACTTTAGTTTTTGGTTTTAGCCATGGTAAAGGGTGATGGTACAGAATGATGATCGGATGATCTGAAATTGATAACTCAAGTCACGATTGATATTGAGTTATGATAACGTAGCTTCAAAAACAATACAGGGGAAATAGTGGGTCTTTATTGAAAAAGATTTTCAATGACCATACATGATAAAATGCAACCTCAACCTACATGTAAGCACATTCAAGGCAGGATAAAAATAGTCAATTACATAATTTATTTCAATTTGTTCAATTCAAATCCCAAAATATTTTGTCAAAACTATCCAAAGAAGCCTTCCTGGTCCAACCACTTATGAATATACATACAGGGTGATTTAAAGAAAATTCCTGTTTTTTATTTCACTCCAAATTTTGTAAGAAAGGACAGGGACTGTTTCACACAAAAGGCAAGGTCATGAAGTTTTGTGTCCCACCATGTCCATTGCCACTATTCATTGGACAAGTGAGCAGCATGCATTTGCTGTTGAGGTATACTTCTCTAATGGCCACTCCATTATTGGTGCTCAACAAGCATTTGATACTAGGTTCTGTATTGGTACAACAAGACAATAATTCAGCCATTGTGGCTTTGTGTCAAATCAGTGATTTTACTCATCACCCTCCTGTAGTCTTTAGGTCAAAATGACCTGAATTTACCCTCAGCTCAGAGGCAGAGGGCATAATGTGTGTGTCTACTAGAAATGATGACAACAGGAGGGTTAAGATAGAAACAATGAAAAAAATAATCAACTTTGTGCTTGGCTTTGCATTAGCTGATGATTAGCATAGCCAAATACAAATTGACTAGAACAAAGAATAAAATGAATACATTTTTCTGCTAATTGGTTATAAATTTGGTTTAGGCCTACTTTCTAGACTAATTTAAATCAATAGAAATGAAAATTATTATTAGTATTCAATTTTTCTAAAATTTCAGTTATTTTAAATTCTTATTTCATTCACTATTATGCATTATAAAGTCTTATAGGTTTACCAGCCAGTTCATTTCATGACATAACTGATTAACTGTTATGAATTAGTAAAACAAACATGGGAATAAAGAGATTTTTCACAATCAGGTTATTTATAATTTTTCAACCTTAACCTGTTGCCTTTCATATGGGCAATTTTTTAATATTTCAACTTTCAAGCTCATTTGCCCAATTGCCGTAGAGCAGACTCAGCAGAGGGTTAACGTTATTAGTGATACCTACTTACAACTTACTGGTCTACATAAGTTAGGAGTTAGGGTTAGGTATAAATATAACTTAATAAAGAAGGTCAACTGAAAAGTCTCTTCACTCTCTTGCCCACACAACTGAAACTAGGAATTCTATAACAGACTCAAAGTTAATACAAAAAGTGTAAATCTTGATATTATAGTTCATTTAGATATGATAGTCTGTTTGTATTGGGTTACTCATTCCAATAACGACAGCTGAGTCAGAGTGCTGAAATACATTATCATTATGATTTTACAGAGAAAGGGAATGTCCGGTTCAGCTCTTCCAAAGTTCCAATAAAATATTTCTGTGTGCCGATTCATATCATGTATGAAATTATTAAACATCCCGTCAAGTTCAGCAATCCCCGCTTTCCATCAGCAACGCGCCATTCAACTCCATAACAATAGGCTAGCTAATAGCTATCCGCCATTTTCGTAGGTACCTTCTAAAATCAAATGCACAGACCTACAGAGAAACTCACCATTTCGTGTTGTGCCCATTAGCTGATCAAGAAGCATCTTCATTTGGTCATGCGCCGACATCTTGGCGCTTAACAGAAGCAAATTCTTGTTCCAGAAAAAAAAAGTGTGTGAATTAAAGCAATATACAGCAATCACCGCCCACCCTTCGTTGCTGATTTTCTTTCACTGAGCATGAAGCACATTAGTGGGCTCGTGCCAATCTAAACTCTTGTCTCAACATTTGTGGGGTTTCAGGCGTGCCAACCTCTGATTCCGAATGATACTCTGCTAACATTTCACATAATAGTAAACAAATTTAGCAGTTAAAATCCATGCAATAAAGTCAAGGTTTTTATTTGAAAAAAATTACACTTCATCTAATACGACTCATCCGCAAATAGGTCTATGCGGGCACGAGATTGATTGTATTACCGACAACTCTGCGGCCGTTTCTTCAAAACTCCACCGCATCGACTGACAGTTTGTACAAAGATTTATTTAGGTAGAATATTATTCATAGATAATTATTAGCACACATCATTCGACTTGTAAAGAGAATGTTTAGCGACTCCAGAAGCCATTTTCTCCGATTTATCTATTATTTTAAAAATACAGTGAATAATATGAGTGTAAAAATTACTTTTTAAAAGACAACACTTCTAAAAAAAATCCAGTGTCTCTGATGTTGCACATGTACTATGAGGTTCTAATTCTATTTTCATATATTAAACAAAATTATAAATTTTTTTAAACATGAAAATTAATTAAATCTTCAAAATTATTTATTCTGTCAATTGATTCATGCATTGTCTCCAACTTTATTCGTGTGTGGCAAATTTCAGATCGATTGGACAGGTAGAAGTGTGTTAAATATCGATTATAAGATTCGTAACAGACAAAATTATTTTTTTCAGGATTTTTTATTATTAAACTTATTTTTCGCTTTCAAAATTATATATTCTGTCAATTGATTCATGCATTGTCTCCAACTATAAACAAGTGTGCAAAATTTCAGTACAATTGGAGATGTAGAAGCGTGTTAAATATCGATTATAAGATTTGTAGCAGACAATCAAACAAACAACAAGAAGTATAGTTAAAGAGAAGTGTTGTAAAAATATGGGAAAGAGGAAGGAAATGGAAAAAGTCTGGTAAAAATTGAGGAAAATGCTCCTAGAATCGCTAGATATTTAATTACGAATCTAATGATATATAAGATACAACACGTAAATTTAATGAGGACTTAAATTTAAAAGTTCCTCTTTTTCTGTTTCAATGCATTTTACGTTTTATTTAATTTAGAAAAAAAAAATCCTCTGAAAAAATTGTACTTTCGTGTTTTGCGTATGTCTGTGCAGGTCCGCGCTTTATATTTTCCAATGAATGAAGATATTACTATCCAAAATAATAATCGAAAATTACTGTCGGATAAAATTTGCCGCTTATCCTATCAGCTTAATCCTTTTCCGTGACAGGCTCCTTTAGAGTGGAGATAGACTTTGGAG